TGAGCGTTTGAAATTCAAATTTTTACAACATTGGATATTCACTCGATTTCTCATGTGGCAATTTCCTTTTTTTGTTTTAATTAAAAAACGAATTACTGTAGATACATGAAAATTTCACTGAATGTTTATATTAGCATTTCCTATACACCCTACAATTTTGAAAATATTTTGACACTTTTTGAGCCGTTTACGGACATTTTCAGTTTTCAATTTTTTTAGTTTTTTTTTTCTATAAATATCAATTAAGTTTTATCTGTTGGGTCAAAAAGTGTAAAAATTTAATACAAGGCTCCTGATATATTGTTACAATATTAGTTGAAAAATATTAAAAATACATAGGCACAATTTTTTTTTATAAGCATTTTAACATCGAATTTTGATAGAATTTTTCAAAATCTCGAAAATTATTAACCATCGTAATTAATAAATTATAAAATGTTCAGTTTTTATAGCTAAGGATTGAAAATTTAAAACAAGATTCCACGTAAGTAGTTAATTCTCTTACCGAAAAATCTAAAAAATATACAATCACAGTTTACTTTTATAGTCATTTTATGTTCAAATTTGGACGAAATTACATATTAAAAAACCTAGTTATTTTGTTGTGATTATATAATATTATTCGTGGGTACCTACTTGAAACTTCTAAAGTGTACTATTATATATCTATGATAGTATCAGGGTTTGTTATTGATGTTGATGTATAACGTGTTATAAGTACCTAATGGATATTGTGATAATGTAATATGATTAATTTGGAATTTATTATAGGTCAATTTTTTTTTTAATACCATAGATATGTATATAATTTGTCTTAAACCTAGACTGACATACCGTCTTCGCTCAGAATCGTTTTTCTTATACAATGATATTGTATCATTGAATTCAAATTTAAAAGCATCCATTATACAGTGACCCACTTGTAACCTACTGTACAGCAGAGCGACATCCACTTACCCACCTTTTTTTAACTGAATTTAATAATTAGGTAGGTATTAATTATATTTTGCAAGGTAGAATTTTCCCAATCTATTCAAAATTATAAATGTTAACAATGAATTTTGAACACAAAAGATTCTTACCTACGTATAATTGCGAAGGGTTGAGAGAGGGGTAATGTGTTAAAAGGTACTTTTAACAAATTTTATTTTCAAAAATCTGAAATCATATAAATATGTTGTTTATTTTTTTTTGATAGCAATCTAACTTATGAGATTTTAAAATCTAATTTTTATATAAAATAAGTCATAAATTATAAAAGTGAATACCTTTTTAATTAGTTAGATAGGTCATGGATCAGTAAGGATGGTGGATATAATATTTTCATATACAAATACCTATTCAATATGTGAATTTGCATTGTGTCAATCACGAAAAGTGTTCAGAATTATGGTATTATATTATTCTATGTATTGAACATAATCTAATTATTTCCCATAATGTGGTTTAGGTATATTTTATTATTATATGAATTAAAAAAAAATTAGATTCTAAGGGAGGATTAACGTGCGATAGCACACTCGATTTGTTCCTAAATATTATCACGTTAAAAATTATTCGACAAAATGAATCGTTTTATAGCTTGATGTGCTTGTACTAATTGAAGATGGCACGATAAATAATTAGAAATAAATTCATTATAATTTATACATTTTATTCTGTTTCTGAATTCTACATAATTTTAAAATTATTTTGCATTTAACTAATGACGAAATTAGAGTGAGCTATTGCAGACCAATATAGGGAAGACCGGGGCGAGTAGGCCTCATGGGCAAATTGACAAATCACAAATAAGTATTAAGTTATACAATTTATGTTGTCCAAATTGTACGTAGCACCATCGATGAATCAATCATATAATTACCCCCTATCATACGTGATAACAAAACTTTTCATTAATTTATTTATTAGTTTATTTATTTCAGTTATTATCAATGTTGTATATTTATCTATTAAAAGTAATTTACTTGATGCTTAAAAAAATATATTTTTTAGAATAAACAACGTATTAATTTAATTTCAATACATCAAAATAAAGATAACAGTACTTACTTATTAATATCATAATTTATTGTTTTGTTAATTAAACATCCCACGTTTTTCCAAAATGCTAAATATTGGAAAAAACCGTTTGGGGTCAATTGACACAGGTATATGGGGGCAAATTGACAAGTGTTTATTAACACGTGTTTCACATATTTGTCAACACTGTTACTCAGATGACGACAAGGACTAGTTTTCGAGACATTGTAAAGATTTTTAATTTTATAATTTTCTGCAGTTCAATATCTTCTTAAGTCGAAAAAGTTTCTAGTTATTTTTTAAAAATGTATAATTCATTATTTTTACAAAAATTGTTATTAGTTTTTATATATAATTTCTTAAAATGAGTTTAATGAAAATATTAATTTTAAGGTTAATATCTATGTTTTCAATTATTATCAATCAAAAATATTTGTTATGATACAAATATATTTTATTATACAAAATAAGTTTGTTTAGTTTTGTGTCAATATTTCCCAATGGCTGTGTCAACTAACCCCGTTTTCATAAATTTTTATGAGCGTTTGAAGTTCAAATTTTTACAACATTGGATATTCATTTGATTTCTCATGTAGGGATTTTCTTATTTTGTTGTAATTCAATAACGAATGACTGTAGATACACGAACATTTCACTAAATATTTATTTTTTCATTTTCTATACTGCATACAATTTTGAAGATACTTTAACTCGTTTTGAGTTGTTTATGGACATTTTCAATTTTTATCATTTTTTTTTCTATAAATTTCAATGAAATTTTATTTGTTGAGTGAAAAGCTTGAAAAATTAATACAAGGCTATATATTGTTATTATAATAATTATAAAAATAAATATAATATTATTATAATATAAAAATTACAATCATTTATTTAAAAGATGCTTTAGGCACACCAACCCGTCCGGTAACCCTGCGTGGACATCCACGATTAATGTGGCATGTAGCCTCCTGTGATAAAGAAAAGAAAAACACATGAAAAAAAATTGAAATACGTAGGCAAGATTTTTTACTATAAGCATTTAAAGTTCGAACTTTGACAACATTTATCAAATTTAAAATTTAATAATTATTGTATACCTAGTTAAAAATTTGTAAAATGTTAACTTTTTATAGCTAATAGGATTGAAAATTTAAAAGAAAATCCCACTTACCTAAATAGTTAAATTTGTAACCAAAAAATTTAAAAATTTAAAAACCGTTTTTTTATAGTTATTTTAACTTACAATATATATGAAATTACTTATTAAATAATACCATTCTTGCAAGAATAACAATCTTAGTTATTTTGTTGTAATTTAAAAATAATATTTGATGAGTAATGGATACTTGAAACTTCTAAAGTATATTATTATATATATAAATATGATAAAACACAAATAATATTAATACAACTTACCGGCTACCTTAATAACAATATAGGTAAATAAAATATAAAATATCCTAGGCTGACAAAGGCTCAAAATTGTTTACAATATCGTATATAATGATATTTTTTCATTGAATTCAAATGTAACACCATCCATTACAGTTACCCATTTTTAACGTACTGTAGAGCAGATCGACATCCACTTACCCACTTTCTTTGATTAACGTTAATAACATTTTGTTTGTTCAATGAAATTAATGACAATTTAATAAGTTCTTAATAAATGGTTCTCTTAATAATTAAAAAAACCTACTTTCAATATTATGTTGGGTTAGGTTTGAAATTCATATGTTGACAAAGTTATGTTGTTATTAAAAAAAATAGTGATCAAGAAGACGTGATGTTAATATTTTCAATATTCTTGGATTAACTTAAAGTTATTTTTACTACGAACTTAGAACCACTCTATTAGTCTACTCTATACTTTCATGATACTTCAGTATTGACTTATAACTTACTTATAAGTTGTAAATACCTAAACAACAATAAGTTAAACGACTTCAAGCTATCCTATATTCCTATAACAAATTAACTAATATTGATAAAAAATGTATAATATACAAAATATAAGTTATACTTAAAAAAATTGAAATAAGCTCTGCACCACCCGTCTCGTTAGCTCAGAATCGTTTTTTGTATAGGTACTTTAATGATTTATAATAGATTTAAAATTTAAATATTTTATATAATATCCATCAATACAGTGATCTACCTATTGTGTGTACCTATTTAATTATATTTCACAATAACTATTTTATACTCAAAACCTACCTATTAACCACTATACAGCAGTAAAGCGATTTTCTCCGTTTTTTTTTAATAATTATCTTATTTATCAAAAAAAGAAGCATCGCATTAAATTTTGATTAAAGTTGTATACAACTTATACAGCTATTACAAATTCTTTGAAAAATATTGTAAAACACCATCCAGTCAGTAGTCGACAGTAGTAATAAATTATATTAACAATTGAATTGTTTTTTATGAGATATTCAATAACCGCAATAGCTATACGTTTTAATAAAGAATATAAATTATAAAAAACTGCGGTATACACATTTTTCATTCTTATAATGTGTTTTTTTTTAAATTATAACTAAATCCTTATTGAATAATAATTTATAACAATAATGATAGTATTATTTAGTTTGCTATGTGTTAGTTCAGTTAGTTGGTACCTCCTATATGATCAGAAATAATTTTAAATAATATATATCTGATTGGATTAATTTCCTCTGAAGTCTGTAATAGAATAAATACAACTGATTTCGTCGGAAACAAGATTTTAATATTTAAAGCATAAATAAAAATATACATGGTTAAAATATTTAACAGAATATTATAATAAAGAAAATGAATAAATACAATAAAATAATAATATAATAAAACAATAGTTTTGTTGTGTGATTTAGTCAGTGGACATGCACAAATAAGTTATATATGAATAAATAATTTTATATATTATACGGTAGCTATATTATAATGATAAATCATAAATTATTGTGTTGAGTATATGAGTATGGCCCGTGCCGTTAGCCATAAGTAGCTGCTGCGCCGCCGCCGGCACCACCGCCGAATCCGAGGCCGCCGCCGAATTGACCGCCGCCACCATGGGCTAGGGCTCCAATGAGTTGAGGCTTGTGGTGTAGACCGAAGAGACTATGACCACCGCCACCGCCGAATCCACCGCCGACGCCGTAACCACCGCCATGACCAAATCCAGCACCGTGACCGAATCCACCGCCATGACCGAAACCTCCGCCGTGTCCGAAACCACCGCCGTGTCCGTGCCCGTGACCGACGCCGCCACCAAATCCTGTTCCTTGACCGGATCCGCCTCCGAAACCACCTCCTTGACCAGATCCACCGCCAAAACCACTACCTTGACCAGCTCCGAAACCGTTTGCATAGCTCCCTCCGGTTCCAAGACCGTATCCACCGGTGTTACTTCCAGAACCACTTCCTGAACCATAACCACCTCCGTGCCCGAAACCACCGGAACCGCTTCCCTGGCCGTAACCAGAACCTCCAGTACCACTTCCATGTCCATATCCGGAACCACCAGATCCACCTCCCTGTCCATAACCGGAACCGGCAGAACCGCTACCTTGCCCATAACCAGTACCGACAGAACCACTTCCTTGCCCATAACCAGTACCACTTCCCTGTCCATAACCAGTACCGCCAGTACCACTTCCCTGTCCATAACCAGCACCGCCGGATCCACTTCCTTGTCCATAACCGACACCGCCGGAACCGCTTCCTTGTCCATAACCGACACCGCCGGATCCGCTTCCTTGTCCATAACCGACACCGCCGGATCCGCTTCCTTGTCCATAACCGACACCAGTTCCGTAGTTACTGTTGGTTGATTCACCCCCGATGCCATAACCTCCTCCGGCCCCTCCGGCTCCTCCGCCTCCTCCTCCTGCACCTCCTCCTGCACCTCCTCCACCACCTGCACCGAAGCCAACGCCTATTCCCACGCCGCCAGAGCCATGACCAGAACCGGAACCGTAACCGCTGCCACCACCGGCGACGGAACCACCGGAACCATGGTTGATAGGGTGTATCGCACCGAAAACCACTCTTTTGGCCGTTACTTCATTATCGGTATTTTCAGATTTCGTGTCCGGTTTCAGTTCTGTGGACTTGGATAGTTCTGTACCAGTCACAGAACAGCTTATGAGGCAAGCAGCGGAAACTAGTACCTACAAAAATACAAAATTAAAAATATATCACCTAGGTAATTCATTTTAGTTTTATACAAGTAAGTTTTTCTCTGCAAGTCAATATCGTACTATACCTATTATATACCTACTTGAAGAATGGACACATATACCTAACTTGTTATAGGTACCTAACTATATGTCTATATGATTATCCAAAGTTGATTATAATTGATATCAATTTGAACCTGTGTTATTTTGTTAGCTACCAAATATTGTGAAGTTTAAAAAACTGCATGTACAAAAAATTATTATAATATAATCACTGAATGTGCAGAAAAATACTTTTAAAATAGGTACTACTACCACAAAGACATATTCTTAAACGGATAAATTATAGGAACATAATAACAATAAAATATATAGTTTAATTATATTAAATTAAATAATATTATAATTATTTTTTATTGACTATTAATGCCTAATACTGTATGTTGTACCCATTGCAATAAAAATGGATTACTCGTTCTAAAATAGTTATGAATTTTACGAGTATAAGAATGGTTATAGGTTAATTTTGTTTTAGTTTCTAAGTTTGTGATTGGTATTTATTTTTTTTCAAAACCGTAAAGTTATGTTGAGAAATTCAAATATAATGTTTTTTTTAAGTGCATAATAAAAGTTGACTTTTATAAATTTAAGTGTTAAGAGATTCTTTACGAAAAATGTTGGTTGTAGGTATACGATAAAAAAAACTAGTGTTTAAAAAAAATTACTTACCAATGATGTGTGGAGAGCCATGATAGATTGGAGAATGTGCCTCTCTTGGCAGTTTCAGTAGTTTATATACTCCGAGTCCTTTACCTATCGATATCTACACGAAACGGGGATACCCTACTCATACATAACAATATACAATATGACTCCGAGTGACCGAGTCTATTTTACCGAATTTGTGTTGTTACGATTCTATTATAGACACATAGATAATTAAAAACAAATAACTGTCAAAATGTTTTTGTCTTTGTTCGCATAACTCTTCCAATAGAATTCATAATTTTAATACTAATAAATGTTACACAAATAATTTTTTTTTTTAAATATTAATTTAGAAGATAGACTCTCTTTTATTAACTCTAAATACTTACAAAATACAACTATTTTATTTCCATTCTGTAAAATTATGATGGTTTTATTGAAAACTTAAAACCTTATATTATTTATTAACACTGAATTATAAAAACTTAAGAAATGTACATATTTGTTTTTGAAATGCACTTCCTGAAAATTGAAATATTTTACTTTTTATTAATATTGTAATAAATAATAGTAATCGATAAATTAATTTCAATTCAATATAACTAAATATAAAAATACATTTAGGTATATAATAGAGTATTAGCCATCTTAAAAAATCAACTGTGTTTACTAAAAAATAGTAAACACTTGCCTATCAATAATTATGAGCCATCAAAATTCTTATAATATTTTTTTTTTTTTTTATATATTTAAGTAATTTATAATCGATACAACATAGGCAAATTTGATAGTTAATAATGTGAAATAATAGAATTTAACATTTAAGGGCAGGCACTCAGCAGCACCACCCAAACTTATAATACTTATAAAATTATAGTAGTTGTTTCTAATAACTCTAAAATGTACCAGGCATTTAAAATCTAAAACGTTTGGGTGTATTATTAATTCATAATTGTGCGTTAACAACTACATTTTATGTTCATGGTTGAATAATATTTTGTTTTATTTAAGGATATTACATTTTAAATTATTAGAAGTGCTTTATAATTTAATCGATGATTGTAATACGATCAAATAATATTGTTTTATATGACATTTATTTCATCAGATAATATAAGTCAAAATTGTTAAATCCCCAAGCTCTATTTTTCGTTCTCCGCTCAAAGTAATTTTTAAAATCATGTCATTATTTTCGTGTAAATTATTCAAACAATAATGAGTCGAGGGTAGGTAGTGAAGCAGTTTGATTGCTTAATATAGACTTCATTAACTCATGTTTTATTTAATTACAAAAAATTCAAGTTTAAACACCACCAAATATCGTACGCTGGTATTTAATTATCACAATAGTAATTCATTCCTAAAAGCTACACATAAAATGTATAAATTATTATTATGCGTGCTACATGTTTTATAAATAGATTAGTAATTAACAATTTGACTAAAGAAACTTATTTCTATTTAATTAATCAATATTTCTAGCGTAGAATAAATATTAAAATAATTAATTAATTTCAGTTGAAGTATATAGGTAGGGTATTATTTTGATCGTGCTGAATGTAAATTGTTTTTAATTATTCATTAATATTATACTAAAACGTAAATTATTCAATTCTGTTAATCGAATTTGTGCATCAGTTAATGGGTTCTATATATATTTGTGTCAAGTTTCAACTTCCTATACCTTGTCAAAAAATTTGAGTATAGAAAATGTGTTGGTACCTACTACTTAATATTTAAAACTAAGTTAAAATTAAAAATTAAATTACTAGCAGATAAAATAAAAATTACTTTATTGTAAATGTGGATATTAATATTAAGTATACCCATGGTATACCTATTTCAATATTTTTTTCCGATAAATAATAGAAAGTTATGTTTTTGTAATAAAATTACATTAAAATAAATTAAAACTTAATGACTAAACAATAATTATTGACATTCAAAAAAGAATAAAGGAATAAATTGGAACTGAAGATTCAATAGAATAACGAATTGCATTACACATAATACCTAATATTATATTATGTACACTATATTGGTATAGCTCCATAGCCATGTGTAGGTAATAATGGTTTATATGATCTGAGTGAAATGAAGTAACGAATAATTTTACAGATACCTAATGAAAAAAAAATTTACATTATAAATATTTATTACGAGTCGTAAAAATGCTTTGCAATAATTTCAAACCTCAATATTTTTCAATACCTAGTTAATTTATCATTAATTTTTTTATTTCCATAAAAATTAAATATTGTTACATGTCTATATACATTTCTGAAAAATATCGGAAAGTTTACTAGTTTCATTATCCATAATTTTTTTTTTTTACTCTCCCCGTTGACGCATATTTAGCAATAATATAATTTAACATTTTATAGGTATAAAGGAATATTTAAAGTTTTTTGTTTTTACTTGATTATTTTTGTTAGCATAAATGACTATATAGATATTATGATAAAGTAAACATAATGATATAGCTCCGAAAGTTTTTCAAATTTGATTAAAATGTAATAATAATAATAACATTGCAGTACGAGTGGGCTATGCTCAATGCGAGAGCGAGACCACAGTATTTTTCAATGATCAATTATCATTTTTTTATTTAGTTGCATACAAATTATAAAACTGTTACATGAATAAAAATTTCTGAAAAAAATTTTAAATTTTATTAGTTTCATAATCCAAAATTATTCATTTTACTCCCCCACTTGGTGCATATTTAACAGTATAAAATAATTCAAAATGTAGGTGTAAAGGAATATATAATACTTTAAAGTCTTTTTTTTTTTTACTTAATTATTTTCTGTAAGCATAAATGTGTATGTAGATATTATGATAAAGTAAACATAATGATAAAAGTCCGAGAGCTTTTCAAATATGTATATAATGTGTAGTGATGATAATAACACTACAGTACCTACTCGTGACTATGCGCCGATGCGAGACGAGTGGCTCGCGATGCCCTGCCACCATAGTGCGCTCTGTCCAGCAGGTTGTTCAAAAATGTTTAAAATATCTAAGCAAATAGGACAATCAACGATGTATGATATTGTTTAACTTGCGGTATATACCTAATCACTGCAGTCTTATATAAATATAAATAATATTATGGTAACGCGTAAACTTTTTATTCAATAAAGAATAATAATTATGTTATGTATGCCTGCTATATTAATATTGTCTGTTCGGAAAATTAATTCCACCGAAAACGGTGCCATCGACACGAAAACGACAAAATCACTATAATATGCAGGTACCGTCTGATAATATTGTACCCAACGAAACATCGTATATTTTGTAGTAATAATATTATAATTATTATAACGATCGGTACAAGTGATTTTCTGTCCTGTTTGTTTACCCTTTGCTACGCATGTATAAAATGAACAGCGTAAATGTGGGCCCAATTTATTGATTTGGCCGGGAGAACATTTCCTCTCGCGCTTTTCCCATCTTTCCGTCGGCACGCTCTGTGCGCGCTAGTTCATCCCCGCGACATAACAACATATCACGCATTCGTCATAATAATATTGTACTTACAACACAATAATATCACAATCGTCTTACATCGAGTATTTCAATATTACCGACGGTCCAATTAATAGTGAGTAAACATTATGCATTTTAATAGTAGGTAATGTCTGACACAGATTTGTGTATCGCATGCAGCCTCCGTGTAATCGGATGTACCTGCGCCCTGCAGTATACCCACACCTGTGTAATACGATATTTTATAATATAGTGATAATATAAGTTTGTTGTAGAGGATATTTTGTCACGTGTCACGCGAATTGTCGACGATATAATATAGGTAACACAACACCTGACTTGTACATAAAACCGTGCAAACATCGTACATGGTTAAATATTTTAAACATTATATTATTATTATTGTTATCTTAGTAAGAGAAAAACCCTACAGTTTTCTGAACTTCTGTAGGTTTGAATACCTACGTTTTGCACGTTTTCTATAGGTACTCAGAGCAATAAATTGAAAATCGTTACCTAAACAATTCACGATTTTTATAGCTAAACAGACGTTTAAAATATATTTTTGGCCATTTGTTTGCTACCTATTAAAAATTATTTCAACAATAGGAACGCTATTATCAACATTTTGTTATCTACAATATATGAAAATTATACCTACCAAATATTGAAAAACCTGCATTAGTAGGTAGGAAACTGTTTTTAGTGTACCTATAATAGCTACTACCTACATATAATTTAAGATAATTATTTAGGTAGTTAACTGCAGTTTACCTATATTGAATCATAATAGTTATGATAATATTATTATATTTTTTATTATTATTATTAAATTAATAAGAAAAATACAACATAATAATGTAGGTCATAATCATAAATAATACATATTACATATATTAAACGAATGAACCCTTTTTCCACGAAAAACGTGCCCTTCCGGTTTCAGACAGTTTCGTTTCGGTCGAATTAACTTTTCGGCCAAATCAAAAAGTGAAATATTTATTTTATATTATGTATTTATAAAAGTTATAAAAATATAAGTTGTATAAAAATTACCCAATATAAAAATATGAATGCACCTATATAATTGTTATCATTAATTATTTTATCGGTTGTGGTCGAGCTTAACTGTACCGATTTAACTATCATATAGATATATATATATTATAATATGTAGCTACATCTACCTAGAGAAAAATAATTATCTAATAATTAATGAATAAATAACTTGTTTTACAGTTTATATTTTTTATACTTTTCTATATATAATATTAAATATAACATAGAGTTAATGTTAAAATTTTCGGTGTTGGCGAAAAGGGAAGGGTACAATTTTCATCGAAAACGGTTATGCCCTATAAAAACCTAAGTTAGTAACCTACTAAGTACCTATTACCTATATATAATTATTATTTTATCAAACAATGATTGATCAAATTAATGTACCATGTACTTTATTGTACCTACTGTGTAAATTAACATTAACTATTTGCTTACAACATTAACTTAAAAAATGTTATGTACTTATGTATAGGTATTTAATTTGA